TCGACCGAGAGGTCAATCGACGGATTCAACTTGGCCGGGCAGCGTTCGGGAGATTACTTCTCGTTAGACTCAAAAGTAGATTGTTCAACCAGTGCGTGTTGCCAGTGTTGACCTATGGAACTGAGACGTGGTCCTTCACTGCTGGCCGTATGAGGAAGCTCAAAGTCGCTCAGCGAGCTATGAAGAGGGCTATGCTCGGCGTTTCTTTGCGTGATAGACTTAAAAACGAGGATATCCGTAGTAGAGCCAGAGTAACCGACATAGCCCAAAGAATTAGTATGAAGTGACAATGGGCCGGCCATTTAGCTGGAAGAACCAACAACCGATGAGGAAGAAAGGTTCTCGAGTGGCAGCCTCGTACCAGCAGGCGAAGTGTAGGGCGTCCCCACGCTAGATGAAGTGACGACCTAGTAAGACGTGCAGGAAGTCAGTGGATGCGGGTGGCTCTGGATCGTGCTTTGTGGCATTCCTTGGGGGAGGCCTTTGTTCAGCAGTGGACTTGTGAAGGGCTGGAATGACGATGATGATGACGTTTTGAATCTATGTAATAATACGTGAAATGAAAACTTTGTATCCCTTTTTTACCGACTACAAAAAGGAGTCGGTACTGAAATCGACTGTATGTTTTTTTTATATTCGACTATATGGTTTTTTTTATATGTGTTACCTCATAACTTCATTCTGGGTGAACCGATTTCGATGATTCTTTTTATATTTAAAAGAAGCACCAGTTTTCATGTGGTCCCATATAAATTTGATGAAGGTCTGACAAATAATTATATTGAAGTCGGTTGTACTAAAATTATAAATTTTAAATCATTAAGCATATTGCTTTCAGGGAGGAGTGTGAGATTATTCAGTAGTCTGTGGAGAGTATGTCAAGGCAAACAAGCGGTTATTTTATATTTTGTATATATCTGATAGCAGGCGCGTTGCTGCCACAGAAGAAATAATTGTGGAAATATTTGATTTTATATATATTGAGGTTGAATTATATATAACTTTAAATTTGTCGGTGCGTTACTCGCCCTACCTTCTGTAAGTTAGTTATTCTATGGCTATAACCTTCGCGGAAGTGAAACAAATATTTTTTTTATATATATGCTTATTAAACAACTTCTTTTATACATTAACTTGAAAGTGAAATACAGCTTTCTTATTATGCAAACTTAATGGATTTAGGGAATTTCAACCACTTGGCGACCACTATGATACATATATGCACATATTAAAAAACTGAATTTGTGCTACAAAGCGCACGATACCCTGGAATTTCAAAATTAATTTCAAACACAGTAAGATCCGTAAAATTAGTTTTATTAAATTTGTAGAATTCGCGTAAATATAAAACAAAAATATTTTGAATCTGATTTAAAAAACAGACTACCTTCACTTGAAGTTAACAAAATTTGCATATCAGCTGTCACTCGACACGACGGCGAAGGAAAAACTAATTTAGTTGTAATAAAAAAATATATTAAAAGCATTAAGTTATATGTACTACGTACTAGAGAAGCCATTCCAAACAAAAATTGTGTCCTACTCTGTCTTCGCGCATGCACGGGAGTAGTAGTCGCGCATGCGCAAAGACTAATTTAATATAAAATAAGATATTAATATAAAATAAATATAAGAATTTAATATAAAATATTTTAATTTAATCTATACAAATAAATTTCTAAATAAAATGTAATAATAATTATTTTATGGAATTCACAAATCTTCAATTTACGCAATATTTAGTTTGTATGGATTGCACTACAGTTCAGTTGAACATAGTCAATGTTCGGAATGGCTTCTCTAGTACGTAGTACATATAACTCAATGATTAAAAGTTTACTTATAAATTTAGGTATGAGTCATGTCTGATAGGGTCATTCATAAAGTAAATACTAAAGATACCTTGAAAAGCAGTTTAATAAAATAAACTAGTATTACCTGCATTACTATTGAGGTCGACTGTTATAAAGCTTTTGTAAAACATGCAAATGTATAGTTGTTAATTTCTTATATTTATACGAAATATATTTCTTTCCTATTAAAATTAGGATGTTTTTTTAAATTTCAATAGGCTCACGAATACTTGGTTAGAATCGATGTTCTTTAGCGAGGACTTGTGGTCTAACAAATATAATGTAATGGCGGAGACCTGCACGGCACATGATCACAGACTGTAGACTCTATTGAAATTAGAATGTTTTTGAAGTGAAAAGTTCTTTGGAATCGTAGTGATTTGAAAGTCACAATTTGAAACTGACACTAAAAAGAGACAAACAAATACATCTATAGGATTTAGTCTGCGAGAGAACGAGATAGAATTACAGTATAAAGTGTTTCCTATTATATCGGTCTCCTTTTCTGAAGGTTTCACTTCTACCGCGTAAGAACTACACACATGCTTTTTTTTTCAATAAATTTTAAATAGCCTCACGAATCTTCCTTGGTAGGAATCGACGTTTTTTCGCGAGGATTTGTGGTGCCTATCTGATGTAATAGCGCGGGCCGTCTAGGATATGACGCGTGCTGATTTTTATCACGTGCTTGGTAGCAAAGAATAACTTCGAGAGCAAACTGCATGTGCATTAATTACAAAGAAAAGTATTTTTTAAGAACATCTGGGTTCGCCAACACTCATTGGGGCAGCGTCAGCGAAGCGCACCCTCTGAGAGAAGGCCTGTGCCCAGCAGTGTATGCAGGATGTAACTTTACCACTTAATATGTTTCATTGTAGACACTTTTAGCAAAATACGGCATTATTTCTATCATTGGCTTGCAAGGTTATTATCACCAGCTTTTTAAGATTGATGATAATGTAAGCGAAATAATTATAGTAGTATAGTAATAATAATAATAATCATAATAATGATCCGCCGGTTTCTCTCCCTTTCCCCCTAACCCTCGGCCGTTTGGTCACCCCTGCCGAGGGCTTCCATCTGGTTGGGCTTTCTATTTATTTTACATATACTTTATGTATTTATTTCACTATATTAATATATTTATATTTCTGTATATTTATTATTTCCATTTATATATGTATTTGTGCAGCCCAGCCAGATGAGAAAACTATTTAAATACCCCCCACAATGATAATATAACTTTTTTAATAAAATAATACAACATAAGGTATTTTATGAAATCTCTATATTCCTATATTCAGAAGGTGACGTATTAATCGTAGTACTAAATCCGCCAAACCAAAATACAAAAACATGTAGCCTTGTCTAATGCATGTAGTATGTAACAGATCTCGTGATAACATCAAGGTTTTCACGTCCGTTAAATTTACGTAATATTTTCCAATTGGACCCAAACAATAAGTCCCCTGTGAAGACGCATGACGACATTTGCACAAATGGTTAACAACCAGCTTCCTGTCGTGCTAACATTGAACCACTTCTGGCCACGAGTGCCGGCCAAGTGCACCGGGGGGTGTTATTACGCGGACAGGAATAGAAACTGTATTTTACATCACTAGATTGTTGAGCAATGCAAATTTTATACCTTTCAACTTTTATACCTTACATTTTCGAAGAAGTTACTTGTACAATATCTGCTACTATTCTAGCGACTTCAAAAACGAGGCGGTACTCAATTCGACTGTATGTTTTTTTCTTTTTTTTTAATGTGTCTTACCTCATAACTTTTTTCTGGGTGAACCGATTTCGATGTTTCTTTTTTTATTGAAAGCTGGTGCTTCTCATGTGGTCCCATATAAATATAATATAAATACAATAGTTTTTGAATTATTCTTAATAATTTATATTGAAGTTGGTTTAATTTTAAATTATTAATTCAGCATTTTATGATCAATAAATGTAAGGGTAAAATAACTAATCATCACAGATTTTCCACGTTGACGCCATGGCACAGGATTAATAATGTGTTGTAACATTATAGTTGAAATTTTATTTATAATAATATTCATAATTATAGTAAGTCTAAAAACACAGGAAAAAGTATCGATACTTGTTGGTATCGAATATTTACCTTTCTACACCGATAATTTTGTGGGTCGGGCGTACTTCTTATAGTACACAAGAATTCCTGAGTTCAATCTCCGTCGACAGGCCAATCAAATCGTTAATTACAAGTTTAGGTCCAATGTCCCATGTGCTATGCGGTGAAGGAAAAAATCGTGATATTTGCAGGTCTGAAATGTACTAATATGAAATAATTTAAAATTAAAAATTTTGTACAGCCGACTTCAATATAAGTTATTTAAGAATAACTTAAAAACTATTGGTCTGACCTTGATCAAATTCATATGGGACCACACGAGAAGTACCAGCTTTCAAATAAAAAAAGAATCATCGAAATCGGTTCACCCAGAAAAAAGTTCTGAGGTAACACACATAAAAAAAAAAAACGAAAAAAAAAAACATACAGTCGAATTGAGTACCGGCTCCTTTTTAGAAGTCGGCAGAAAATACTAATATGTCGAGGACCTGTATTATCCACCAACACTTATAAATGTATGTAGCTCGATGCCAAATCGCCTTGAGACGAGTCATAATACCGGTAGTGGGTGGTACGGAGAATATAGAATGTTATTTTCTGCACTTTTTTAAATAAAAATTCTGGTATTTTAGAATTTTTTTAGATTTAGTGTAAAATTTAGAGACTTTTAAATTGGTGTTCACAGACTGAACTAATAAAAGGAAACGCTTGGATTCAAATTGCTGCCTATCTGCAGTTGCAATAGTAGTTGATAGCCAATTTATCCCACCGACATGTGCTGTGTGATCTAACTATATTTAGTTACATATAAATTGCTTGCGCCTTAGTTTTTATAAGGTGTTAATCATATATTAGTTATTTGTAAAATTTTCACGTTTAATAACTAAGCAATTTGGAAGGAAAATATTAAATCAATTGTTTGTTTTATTTACTGAAACAATTTAATAATATTTTTGGTATCATGTTATGTCTAAATTATCTGAATTTATGACAATATAAAAATATCTTGCATTTTATTTTTCAGGTAGCGGAATCCATTCAAAATGTTTTGGCTACGCACATCCGTCTGCTTACTGGCGGTGTCTTTACTTCTGGCACCTATACTTGCAGCAGTCTGTCCAGATAGTTGCGTCTGCAACACTACGCGTGACGGCCTTCATCGTGTAACATGCAGCAGTTTAGCTGAACTCTACAAATTTACTCTTCGTCAAAAGCATCATAACATAAATATTCTTGATCTCTCACATAATAACATCACCAAGTTAAACCATGAACTTGACCGATTAACAGAAGTTGTAACTTTGGATCTCTCTACAAATGGTATCACAGATCTCAAGAAATTTTTGCACAATGCTAAGAAATTAGTGCATCTTAACCTATCGAATAATAGGATAAGAAAGCTCTCTCTGACACATTTGCCGACAAGTGTTAGTTCATTAGATTTAACTAACAATCTGTTGCAAGACGTACCTTCAGAATTGGGGCATTTAATCAGTTTAGAACATTTAGAACTTGATGGTAATCCATTAAAATGTTCTTGCGAAAATATCATAGCACGTGATCGTTTGTTAGCAGCAAATGTTTTTATAGATAATGTAAAATGTGCGGGTCCTACAAGCCTACAAGGTCGCTCTTGGCTAGAGTTAAAGACAAAAGACGTTTGTAAATCTACTAAAATAGAAAATAATTATCTGGATATGATGATGGGAGATCAACCAATTGATGCAATTAAAGTCGGAGAGGAAACAACTGCATTAAAATCAATGCCTCTTGTAGCAACAAATGACTTAGAAGATGGCAAAGTAATTAAGGGAATTGATATAATTGAAGATGATGATAGCGAACAGTTTATGAAAGTAGGTCACATGGTAACATCATCACCTTCGACTGATATCGAGGGCTCTGGTGAAAGTGAAAGTACGACTATGAGTGATATAATTGAACCAATTCAGGATCATAAAGTGTATGCGAATTTGTTAGCCACAGATGAAATAATTCCCGTTAACAACTTGGATACCACCGATGATCCTATAGAAGGGTCCGGTGAAGGATCTGGATTTATTATTCCAGAATATGAAGATAATACAGAAAAAATTATTGAAACAACTACACCTGTTTATGAAGAACTTAATCCCGGGCCAGTGCATAAAATATTTGAAGAAGATTCTAGTACAGTAACTTCAGAATTTCCCATGCCTTTACCACCATCAATTTATGAAGGAGGTGCTGATTGGCACAGTAGAACTGATACTGAAATTATCACCGAAAGTGCTGCGCCTGCAACGCCACCAATAACACGAGATACCACTATTTCAGAGCAAATTAGAGTAACACATGCTTCAGAAGTCTTGGGTCAAGCACCAGCTAATAATGAAAATGTGGTTCCGCATAAAACGGGCACTTACGTGTGTATAGCTCTAATAGTTGTACTACTGGTTGGATTAATAGGATTTGCTATAATTAAAGGTCAAATGAGAAAACGTAGGGATAGAAGGCTATTAAGACAGCAAAAGAGAGACATAGAAAAAGCATCTAAAGAAATGGTGGATATGAATAAATCTTTATTAGGTAAACCTGCCCCAGTAAACAACCTCGGTGATAAAAAAATTAACGGAAAATATGAGCTAGTACCTACACATGAAACATTTCAAAAGAAAAGTAATAACGGGGATCTCGGAAATGGCACAAAACATGGTTCCAAGATTGATAGTCCTAGGGATTCAAATCAGAATAAACGCAGCTCTATTGACAATAACTTAGTTGAAGAAAGTCAGTTACCACAACAAGAAACCTCACTCCATTCTGATCATGCGTCACCTGCCTCTAGAAAAGACACAAATTCTTTATCCAGTGAAGATATATTTGTGCCTATAAATGATGATGATAATCAAAGACTAAACGGTAATGCAGATTCAGATATATCTCAACCACTTATTAATGGAGATCCAATTTCTGATTCTGATTTCTTGGATCCATCCCGTGAGTATGTGCCCATATATTCGCCAGATATGGGAAGGGTTCGGATCAAAATGACTGAGACACCGAAACCAAAAACGCCAGTACTAGTCACCAGAAGTAGGTCGAATGCTGGAGATATCATCATTACACCTTCAGTAGATGGAAATATGCTTAAATCAACCACTTGAAACTAAGTCTTTTTGCAAAGGATCATATTCCTTTTGTGTATTTGTCAAACAACAAACGTTTCACTATTGGCAAAGTTCTGTGATTTTATTATGTGCATAAAAAGAGAACTCACGTGTATGAGAGTGTGGAATAAATTGGTGTGTCTGTTCTTTTTCTAGAAACGTCGCTGCCAAAGTGTGTTGGTAGTCTACAGTGCCTTTTTAATATGCTAGTGGTAAAAATATATTTATATACCTAATTATATTTCGAGATAAGAACAAAATATTTTATACATGTAAAAAGTTGCCATTTTTATTATAGAACTAAACTACGTTATTCTTTCTAATTCAATCTTGTAGAATTCATTTTACAAGTACATACGTAAAAATAATTTGACAGATTTTCACTATATTATCTAGGCAATACTTTGTTTAGTCCGAATATAATGTTTGAATTGTTACTGGTTGTGTACTTACTTTATAACGAACATTACAATACATGTTAGTAATGAAACAATGAAAGTTTTGACCATTGCTAACTTTTGGTTTATATGTCTCAACTACTTCCTATTAGAATGTTTCTGTTTCATGTTGTAATGTAAGTAGTTCCTTAATAATAATATTTTATTGAATTAATTTATAAGATTGTGATACCATTTATCCTAAGTTATATCAAGCTATTATTTCTTATGTTTGTAATTAATTGAATTTTGTCATCGCATATTGTACATTTTTAAGATTTTATAATTGGATGTTAATTTTGTATTAATTAAGTGCCACTGATACTTTTATCTCATCTCAATGTCATGCAATCTCTCCGACGTGTTTGCAAATGAAAAATCACTAATTTAAACATCTACCGCTATTTATAATTAATGAGGAAAGAGATAAAGAAAATAAAAAACAATATTGTAAAACATCACTAATGTATTTCATTTCATGAATTGCTTAGAAACTATATAGTTCTGCGTTTCCTTGATTGTTAAGGAAACTCAGAGAAAGTGAGATTACTTTTTCTTTTATAGAAAAAGGGTGACAAACGAGCACATGTTCACCTGATGGAAATTGAATACTGTGGTTCATAGACATCTATGTCTATCCTCGATCCTATCCTCTATCCTCGTTGACGATATCCCAGATGCGTTGTCACCGCCTGAGGAATAAGATGGAATGTCTCGTTTGAATCAAAACCTCGTTAAAGGATATATTTTTTTATTTATTTATTCTTTATTGTAACACCTTACAATTAAGGTAACAGTGGGCGGACTTAATGCTTGTCGGCATTTTACTTATATTATTACTCCAATAATGTTATTAAATTGTATACAAGCTACTAATTTTCTATACGGTTTACTCGATGCTACATAGTCAGTAACATTCATTAGTGGGACAATGCTTATATACTTAATACGCTTTTGCAACAGTTTCAGAGAAAACACACGGTCTATCTATATAATAAAAAATAGCAACCCTGGCAATGAGGTAATCGCCACTAATTTTTTTCTCTGATGATTGTGATAATTAATATGTGTAAACATGTGTTAGCTATAACTTAAAAAAATCACTCTAAATTTTTCGTTTAGTATCAGTTATTTACTGAGCATAAGTATCTTGAGTATGAACCTGTTATTCTGATATTACTACTAACTGACCAAAGGTCGAGAAACCGATATTAAATTTATTTTATCTCTAATTAAGACACTATCTACCAACATTTAATTTATCTATCAACCTAAATATCAAGTTCTATATACATTATACACTCAATGTGATGTACTAATCGTATAATATAATTTTCTTTTATATTATTATGATATGACAGAATACTTTTGGTAAAAATTTAATAAAACTATTTTTGTTATATTAGTTGTATATGTTCTCGTCTACCTATACTGGGAAAACTATTAGCTTAGTAGATAATTTCCAATTGGTCCGCACATTGTAAACCTTTTTTTATGCAGGTTGCACAAAAGAGTCTAAATAAATCAATAGATAGAAAGAAAACAGGGTCATGTCATGCACGTGGTAGAGCCATGCTGCAGCTATATTAGTAGTATAGTTGTAGCACGTATGGGTCGGCACGACCGAGGAAGGACCACGCTTTCACAGAATACCAGCGTAAAATAGCAGCTTAATGCTGCTGTATTTCGTATGGTGAGTGTAGAGAAGCGGAGACCCTTTTTAATGGAAAAAAGGCATTCCATCTTAGTCCCCACGGGCAGTTTTCTAAATCAGTCAGTTTTTTAAATAAATGGTTTGTAGACATTTTTCTAGCACTGGCTATTCTGGATTGAAGGGTTTTGCTTTTCTTTTGTGATCTGATCAAGTTCGATTGCAAAATTTTAATTTTTCTTCTTGTTGTTTTCAGCTGGTTCAACGAGAATGACGGCAACTCCTGATGCTGATGATTATCTGTATAAAAACACAATTTTTTTAGTTCCAAACTAAGTATACTAGCACTTATATGCTATATGTATTTATCTGATGTCATCAGCTTTTACAAAATTATGGCCAATTACTATCCTATGTGATTTTAGTTGAGATTGGGTTGTTGATTTTTAGGGAAATACCATAAGTGTTTCTCTTAAAAGTGCACTCTGTTTCCTAACCTCTAAAAATAAAAATAAAGTTATTATTGTTTTCATTTATTGTCTTCTTCTGCAGTCGGCAATAATTATGTTCTGAATTAATAATTCTGACAGAATTATCTGTAATGTGAGAGAAAAACTCATGAGAAATATTGATTTTGTTAGTGTGTTGTTTTTATATTTAATTTAGTCCTAACTTTATGTATATAAATTTACCAACAACATGAATGCAATAAATAATTGGAATTAATATGTAAGTACCTGTCGGTGTCGGTTTTAATATAACGTTGCTTTCTCCATTCACAGGGTCAGGTACATGTAAAACTTTCTTTGAAGTACCAACTTCATTAGAATTGCCTGAAAAATAAGAGAATATGTTTTAAGTGTAATAATGAGCACAGGTACATAGGAAGATCGGGTCATAAATCACCACACAGGTCTGCTCGAGATTTTAGAGTAGTTTATTGTGCACAATCCACAATATTTGCAGCAACACCAAGCTCTTCAATGTTGTTGTTTTATTTATCATTGAAGTTGTAACTTAGACTAGAATCTAAATGTCCAATAACTGTATTGAGCCCAATAACTAAAACATTTACAGTATATTTTATTAGGTTAGGCTCAAAATTAATTATGATACAGTTGTACTGAATTTTTTATAAAAAATAACTAAATAACCGGTGGGCGATAATGACCATTTGAAGATGTTGATGGCACTTAGACTATTAATCCCCTTAAAATGTAAAAAAAAAAACTTATTTTGCTTTTCTTTAATTGCTGTCTTAAGTACCTGTCAGTGTCGGTTTTAATGTAGCAAGGCTGCTTTCTTCATTCACAGGTTCAGGTACAAGTAAAACTTTCTCTGAAATACCAATTTCATCAGACTTTCCTGAAAAATAAAAGAAAAACAATATTATTTATTTTAAAAATAAATAAAAACTTATAAAGTTAAAGAATTTTTAATTTGAATTGGAACAAAAATATATAAGAGTTTTATTTTTCCACCACACAGACTAACCACCATCAATATATTTTCTTATCATTATAAGAATATAAAATGAACATAATATGAATTAAAAAATTACCGATAAACACAAAAATAAAACAATACTAGGAATGCAGCCTACACACTAATCAACATGGGGTATAATGTGGGACTATGCGTGGTACTGTATTTGTACTTGTTTAAAAACATGGCCAAAATTTTTTCCCATCATTTTGGCCATGTTTCTTGCCTAATGTGGGAAGGATTTCAGTCAAATATGCAATATTAGCAAAATGCTAACTTCAACTCATGCCCAGTACTACTAATGTATAATTTTACATTGGTTGGTCGGTACATCTCTACTACTGAGTAGAGATGTACTGACTAGTTGGAAAAGCCGACTATCCGGCCATATTTGTAGTCAGCGATTAGTCAGCAAGAAACGCCGATAAGTCAGCCTATTATATTAATTATGTATACTTCAAATAAATTAAATATTCTGTACGATAATTGAAATGAAATCTTAACCTTAATAACAATGAATTATCAACAAATAATTTTTATTTTAGAATCAGTCTACAGCTTGTAATATATTTAGCAATAATGAAAAAATTGCTAAAATAATTATAATTTGATAATTATCTATTTTTATCATTAAAAATATATGTAATTTAACTAGGGCAAAAATTGTGATGTACAAAGGTACATTTTCCCATAGTAAAAAATATTAACTTATTTATAGTATTTTATTAGAAGCAATTTATGGTGTAAAAACACCAGACACTGCCCTTTCTGGCAGCAATCTATTTCTTATAGTTTTGTATATATTGCCAACTTCGAAGAAGTGTCTATCGCTATACACAGAACTAGTTGAACAAAAAGAAGTACAATTTAGCAAGAAGCAAGATTTTGGGATAACTTGAACTGTTACTACTCCGCCATTCAACTCTGCAGATAACAAAGTGCCATGGAGATTGCTGCTACCAACCAAACTCAGCCGAAAGCAGTGATTGGCTTGGCTAACTAGTCGGACAATGTCAAAGTCGTCCTATCTCTAATAATTAGTAATAAGTTATAATGCCCTTAGTTGAAAATTATGTAAATCTTATCAGGAAGATGAAGTGATGGCACAGCTAGAAAATTCAACCGGTTATTACGGTTCCTATCCCTGTCTGTAAAAAGGATATCACAGATGACCTTCTTCCTATACAGTTCATAATCAGCTGGACTATCTAACTTCCCACCAGCTATATGAACCCAAGCCTTGAAACGGTCAGGTTTCTTTTCTGGATGTGGAAATTGATGGTAGGAGTTCTCTGAAAAAAAAGAAAGACCACTTTTAATTTTTATCTCAAAAATTTAAAGATCTAAAGTAATTTTTCCTGAATAAGGATGCATAACAATATTGACATCTTATCCAATGATCCTACTAATATTAGAAAAAAGCA